GTCGTTTTCTAGTTGGCTTACCTGCGAGCCAGTACTCACCACTTGGTAGCTGATAATTGATCTACACACACCAACCCTATCACTGGTTAAGACGAATCGGCGTGGATAAAGCTCGCATTAGTTTGGCACTGAGACTTTACCGGTTACGTTGCAAGCAATATGTTTGGGGGGAAAAACACTCCACCACGCTACGGGAGCCTGCCTGCAAAACATGGTCACCTGTTGTGAGAATGTTCCGTCAAAAGACGGATGACATCATATCCTGCAAAACTGCAAGTTAACTGAAATGTAAAAGGCCACTGTTCGATCCTCTACAATGACTAAGGACCTTGGAGGTCATGTGGCAAAAGCCGGCGTGGAATAAAAAAAGTAGCTGAAGCGAAAGCAACAAGTTTAAATTTGGGATACATCCATAATGTAACAGAAGAATTAGTCATTCAGAGATGGTGATTCTTCGGCACATAGTTGCCTTGCCACTCGAAAGAAGCACAAGGGCGGATATGATACGAGGCCGCCCAAGTCTACTCAAAGGTTTTGCGCCTTAACGGCCGAGCTATCTGGAGCTCATGAGGCATCCAGGCAGCTGCCGACAAGTCCTGGGACCATCGGGTGTCACCACCACCATCGGAAACAGCAACATCAGTGTCGACAATAATGTTTCACTGCCGTACGACCAAAAAGTTTCAACGTTCAGCTGTGGTACCCTTCTGATGCCTAACTGCCATGCCACGAGAAGGAAGAGCGAGGGCTTGAACACTGCTAGTTTGCCCAAGCCTGGGCAGGGGAAGTCGAGAGACAGATCAGGTTCGAACCACTCGGTTGTTCGACAAGAACTTCCATTGAAAAATGTGTCCAGCACCAGAAGTTGCGTTTGCCTACCCATCGTTCACCGAAGAGAGTGCTGTTTTCCACACCCAATTCAGAGTGGCGTAAACAGATAGGTGGCCAACCCTTGACCTGACAGAAGCGTATGAAAGAAGTCACGGAAGGTTTGGGTGCTATCGGTACTACTCGCCTACCAGGATGGAGACCACGTGATCTCCACTGCGCCTGATTCGAAACGCTGCAATGTATGGCTACTAGTCGATGTCATTGGCGTTCGTTTCTATCCAGATTGCCTGCATGAGTGTCAGGAGGTGTAGGCACCTGTTGCTGCGGCAGATAATGATGAACAATGCTCATCGAGATAGACGATTTTTAGGTAAGCATACGAATCGAGGAACAGTACAGAAATAATCAGCGGTGATATTTGTCTCAGTTTGGGCTAACTTACCACTGACATGCTGATCAGTGACTCCATGCGCTAGGTGGGATCGACGTAGGATTAACAGCGGATACAACTTACTCTTTGACCCAGGAAAGGATATCTTTAATTTCAAGGAGTTATTTGATTGCTTCGTTACACAGGGAAGAGAGACTGGTGAAGATTCATCTGCTGACATGTTTGGTAGATTGTTTAGGTCGAACAGTGCTTGAATGTAGTCAGCCTTATACAATGCTATTAAAAGGACGGACGGAAGGGGGCCTCGGAGCAGCAGTCAAGAAGACAGACGCTGGGAAGTCTGGGCGATAATACAAATGCATTGGTGATAACCATGGTCAGCAGTAGGTGGAGGCATTTCGTCTGGAAACGAAAGGAACATAGAAGATAAAGGGAACAGTTTCGGTCTGTCTAGATTTGTAACAACAGGAAATAATGCAAGTACGAAACAGGGAGTATAAGCAATATGAGTCAGGGTGATGGAATAAACTTGTGATGCACCTGTAAAGGCATGCCAAAAGGTAGATAGAGAATTTCGTCCAAAGTTGTTTCGTTCGGGAGACAGCAAAATCACTCTCATATACTGTGTAGACTGTAATAGGCTGGATAATATCGACCGCGCCGTCTGAGCAATCGCAACCTTATCCGATATATAGGTTTACCATCCCAACCATAACAGCTTCAAGCCCAAGTTGGGGAGAAACAGACAGATCGTTCGTTCCAAGCAGAAGCAGCTATATTTACCAACCGACTGGCTATGCAAGCAGATACGTTCGCTTCTGGATCTGCTACAGTTATTTCAGCGGTATCTCATCTAACTGCTCTCTGATTTGTGTCGGCGATCCGGCATCAATAACCCAGCCAGGGAATCAGTTCCATGTCTTAGATACTCTCAGCAACAACCGGTATACATATGGAAGTCCACCGGTTCTTCTAACCTCCAACTTGGTACGATGAAAACGCGTATTGCTCCCTTCTATTATCTTCAACCACTGTCTCGGCGATGGTTACAGTTTAAAGTGCACCGGAGGTTTGAAGAACTCTCAGCACTCACTTCATTACTTCATCAATGATGAAGTTGAACAAGGATAAAATAATTGAGCATCCTCGTCGGACACCGTTTTTTGTAGGGAAGATTATGCAGGGCTCACCATATACCCACACGCCTAGGAGTAAGTGAACAAAGGGATCGGATTGTGTTCACAAACTTCGGAGGCGTACCCTGTTGAGCAATTGTGGTTAACAGCACTCACCTTCGACACACAGCTGTCACCTTGTCGTAGTGGTCGGGCTTTAGTGCATCAATGATAGTGCTGGAACTCAGTTCCTTAAGGTTCAACCGTGCCAGGAAGGCCGACGGGGGAGTAGCCCGACGAAGAACAGCGAGTCTCAGTACTGCGAGTAATCGTATTACGAGGCGGTTTGGAGATGAAGTCGCACTGTCCTCTGCGATAGGAGTGTGAAGGCAGTAAGGCATTTCCTCCAGCATGTCCATATTTATTGAAGCAGCGATGCTGCCTTTCCCCGAGTAAGGATGGGTTAGAAAAGGTCGACCACAAAAGCCGCACACTCCGATCGCCCATAGAATGACCGTGACCGCCGGCGCATTATTCAATACGGTCGAAATACTTTTAAAGCTAAAGAGCCCGGTGCTGCTCAAAAGGCACCTACTGTGCGCCGCCGCATCAGGATTGAGACAGTGACGCCCTACGCCCTGCGTCCTCGGTTCAGGCCGGTCCCCTACAGCCAAGTGGGGAAAAAAATAAAATAATTCTGCTGTCGCACCCTTTCGGTGCCTAACCACCATGACACCCGAAGGAAGGATGAGGGCTGGGATACTGCCAGGTTGCCCAAGCCTAGACAGGGGAAGTCGAGAGGCAGAGGTAAGGTTCGAACCACGGACCTTCCGGTCAGTAAATTCGCGCTCTAGTCACTTGGGTCATCTCGCTCATTTGGGTCAAACTATTGAGTAATCAGTCCCGCGAATGGTCACCCTAGAAAACCCTCACAACTGCTGTCTCACGGTTCAGACTCTTGATTCGGAGGTTGGGGGCAGGATCCCCGAACAAAACCCTACATCCTCCCACTGCCTTATGGGTCAGACTTTTGAGTCAAAGGCTAAAAGTGGGCCTGGGCAGCCGGGAATTATCATTTACCCTTGCAACTCTTCGCTCACCGGCCTTCTCCCACACTTCCTACCCACCCATCGTACAATGCAGTGCAATCAACCCATCTTCCAATCGTCTAGCCACTGTTCTGTGTCTCAACTGTCGCCCAAAAATAATCACCTACTAACCTCAAACATCTGATCCAAGTTGCAGCCTTAAACGCCCGTACTCTATATTAGATTGGGAAACAGGCATTCCTTGCTGAAACCTTACTTCCCCTCTCTATTGATGTATGTTGTCTTCGAAACACACATACAAGACCCCACTTCAGCCGTGCCCCTCAAGCCGCTTAGGACGAGCTCAGATGTTCCACATTTCACTCTTCGGGTATCCGGTGATCCTGACGCAATGGCTCGTAGTATCTACGATGTGGGAGGTGCACTTAGCCCCAGAGCTGGACGCACCTTACTGGAATGGATCCCAGTAGCCAGTCGCCTTTGCGCTGTGCGGTTGTCTAGCTCAATTACGATGAACGCAGGTCAGTGCGGTAATTTGTTGTATCAGCATAAGCCCCAACAGATAGCAGGTATCAAAATCCGTCAAGAATGCTTCGGTCAACAAGAAGGACGGTTGATATGAATGCCCGAGTCGGACGACTAAGTCCGGAAGAAGCACTGTTAGGTGGTCATTTGGAGTCGATGCTCAGCGCACGGAAAATGGGGGGCGGCTTCCTCGGTTGCGTGCAGATCATCACCTGTTCCTTGCCAGAACGAAATTCCAAAACAAGTGTTCACATCCAGTTACCTGGAAGCCACCCACGACAAGACAGTCGTGGACTCAATTGGACTATATGGCTATCAGTTACCGAAGGAGAGCCTCGGTTAGGGATTGCCGTTTCTTCTGTGGTACGCCAATTGAGTCTGATCACGCCATTGTGTGCACTCGGTTATTATTTCACTTTCCGCCGACACTACACGTACCGAAAGAGAGCAGTACCGTTCGACAAGTTTCAGTAGCTGAACAATATCGAGCTGATGTGCCTTGAAGATTGCAGGAAACACACAATCATGTGGACGACGAAGAGTGCTTCGAAGGTGAATGGAGGCGAGTTAAAGCAATGCTCTCAGCTTTCAGAACTGGTTGTCCAGCTCATCTGACTCGAATCAATAAACACTGGATATCTTCGAGATCAGATCTTATTGCTGCCAGAAAGCCCATACCAGCAACTAGCGACTACGATGGCGCACGCAGGTCCCTCAAACACCGGATAATCAGGAGGCTGAAGAATGACAAAGAACGCTGGTGGATTTCGAAGGCCTGGGAGGGAGAAAGGGCTTTCGCTGCAAACAATAGCCGTGCCCTGTTTCAACTGATTCGGTCAAAAGAAGCCTGATGTCAATGAAATAATATGCGACAAAGACGGAACAGCTATTCACTCCCTCAATCGCCGTCTTGAGCGATGCGCTGAGCACTTCAAAGAACAGTTCACCTGCTCTCCTTCAACATAACCGGTGGAAGAACCAAGAATGGAACATCGACACCAACCCATCAGAAACCGGAATCCAGCTGGAGGTTTGAATCCTGAAGCGCGACAAGGCATCTGGACCAGGATGTTCTACACCCCACGATCCTCAAAGAAAATGGCAGTCCTGGTGAACAGTCTGACAACCATACTACAGGCTATTTGGAACGAAAACAGAATACCAGCAGAATGGAGCTCCTCGACCGTCATCGCAGTTTTCAAAAGCGGCAAGATCGTCATGTAAAAACCATCGTGGTACCATCCTGGTATCCGTCGCATCTAAGTTGAACTCTGACATTATTTTGCGCAGGTTGGTGGATTATCGGGAGAGAGAGTCGTGAGAATCAAGCTTGGTTTCGCCCTGGTCGAGTATGCACCGACCATATCTTTACCTTGAGGCAAATTCTTGAACAGCGTCACTCCTTCAGACGCTCCACGTTGGTCGTTTTTCTGCAGTTGAAAGCTGCTTTTGATTCTATCGATCGTCAGCAACTTTGGAAGTGTAGGGCGATCACAGGTGTCCTTTACAAATTTCTCTCTCTTACGGAGGCTCTGTGTGCGAACTCTTGTGACCTCGTACGAGTATACGGGAAGCTCTCGCCAGAGTTCACCACGTCCAGCCATGTAAGACAAGGGTGTCCTCTTTCTCCTTTCCTCTTCCACTTTGTTATTGATATGTTGCTTGAAATTGCCCTTATGCCTCTGAAACCTCGGGATGTTCCCTCACACACATTGAGTATCAAGACCATATTGCTGTTCTTGGTTCAGATCCTCGTGAGATCTCAGTCCTCAAGCGCGACAAGGCACCTGGCCCGGATGGCCTACACCACGCGCTCCCCAAAGGCGGTGAGGTCTGACAACCATACTACCGATTTGAAGCGAAAACAGTATACCAGCCGAATAGAGCTCCTCGATCGTCATTCCAGTTTTCAAAAGGAAATCAAGAACGTCATGTGAAAACTATCGTGGTATCAAGCTGGTATCCGCCATATGTAAGGTGCTCCCTGGAATTATTTTGCACAAGTTGATGGATTATCAGGAGAGACGGATTCATAAGAATCAAGCCGGGTTTCGCCTTGGAGGAGCTTCAAAAACGTTTCGACGGCATTGGTTGGTACATTTTGCGGACAAGTTGGAATCCCGGAGTCCCCAGTGCCCTTCAAATGGACAAAGACGCTGTAAAACAGTGGAAGCGAGATGTCTCAGGTGGTTAGAGCGAGAATTTACTGACCGGAAGGTCCGTGGTTCGAATCCGAGCTTTGCATTTCGATCACCCCTGTCTAGGCTTGGGCGACCTGGCATTATCCCAGCCCTCATGCTCCCTTCGGGTAGCATGACAGCTAAGCACCAGAGGGATGTTACAGCTGAGCGATTTTCGATTTTTTTTGCAAAGCAGTGGTCGTTGGACTGACACCTTCCTCTGAATGACGAAAAGTGTGTCCATGTCATTCGGAGGAGACTCATAGAATGCCTTTGTCATTCAGGGTGAGAATGGATCAGAAGACATCACGAACATAGATACCAAAAGGCTTTAGGTGTCTGGCTTTTTTAAACATGTCGTTCTCTCTGCGTCATAAGAAATCGCCTCAAAAAGCATTCGCCTTTCCAAGGATGGTTCGGCGCACCTTCTCCCATATTACTCGCATGGACTTCCAAACACTCTATGGGGCCTACGTCAGGCCGCTCCTGGAATATGCCAACCAAGTTGTCTACTCAAGACGCATGAAAGACGTCACTCTCATTGAGCGTGTCCAGCGAGGTGCTGTGAAAATGATTGCCGGCCTTAAATCAGTAGATTATGAAATGCGCCTCGTGGTGCTTGGCCACTTTCCTGTGGAGTATCGTCACCCCTAGGAAGACCTATTTCTTACTTATGCCCTGTTTAAACAAGGTTTGGTTAACCGCTTTTTCACAGCAAACGCACAGCGGGGACGTGGTAAGATTTCCAGGCTCAGGGAGAATACTTTCATCGGGTATTTTTTCATTTCGGGCAGTTGCTGTACGGAATAACCTTCCTCTGATGGTTTTCCACGTTTCATCTAAAACTCAGTTCAAAGCACTAATAAAACTTTTCATAAGAATCCTCGCGCTGGCAAGCTTACAGTCCTGTCTTGAGAATTTGAGAGCAGTGCTCCGCCCGTCTTTCGCTTGCGCCCTTCAGGTGAACGGCAGCCTCTGAACGACCAAAACAAAACCGAT